TTATGTTTGGTTCTATGGGGTTGTGTACATATAATTTGAAATTTAACTAATACTGTATGAAAAAGGCAAAAACAGCTTTCCAATTCCAGCATTTGAATTGCTGCATTTTGTCTTTTATAAAACAAAACAAAATCTTGGTTTATTTCTATAATTTGTGTTTCGCTTTAAATAGTTAAGTAAGAAAAAAGGCTTAGGGGTGCTTTTTATAAATAGTTCCGAAAACAAATTTCAATTATGGATAATCTTTAATATTAGTAAATGAAAAACCAAAATGGATAATCATTATCACTGTATGTTAACACATTTTATTTATCAAATATTTGGGTGCCTACTTAATACTATTCTTTTTGTTTGTTTATTTTTTTAAAGATTTTATTGGGGAATTGAGGGAGGGAACAGCGTTGGGTAATCGGGGAAGGGGAACAGACAAGTTGCTGTCGTTTTGTTCTTCAGTCTAGTTGTGGAGGATGTCACTTCACTGGCCCTTGTTGGTATTATGATCATTGCACTCTTCCCGGCTGAGGCAGGTCGGTCACCGGCCATTGGACAGAGGCTCACAACAGCTCACATCGGCTGCCGGCCACTCACGGTAGCTTACGGTAGCCCACTGCAGCCCACGCTGTCGCCAGCAACTCACATCAGCCCAGCTTAAGGTCGAGCAGTTGTTCACCATTTTAGCTGTAGAGGGCGCAGTATCACTGGCCCATGTGGGATCCGAACTGGCAGCCCTGCTGCTCAGACCTTGCGTTCCTAAGCCAACTCTTAACCAGTGAGTCACTCAGCTGACGCCTGAATACTATTTTAGGTGCTGGGGATATATTGTTTTATCGGAAAAATCATGACACAAATTTGCAACGAAAAACAGAAAAAATACGACATGACTTTTCCAACAACCCAATGTAACAACAGTAAGACACAAAAATCACTGTCCTCATGGACTGTATTGAAGGAGGGGGCAGTATGGGGTTGTCACAATTTCATATACTTCCTGTCTTTAATCATTATGAATATAAATTAATCAGTCTCAGAAGAAAATAATTTAAAACTATATAAAAATGAAAACATGGTGACAACTAGCTGAGTTACTTGGGTGATAAACTTGAGTTTCGAACATGCTTATATAATTTTTACTAATTCTACCCATTCATCAGTTTGAGGACATTTGGGTTATTTCCAGTTAGGAGAAATAATGAATAAAGCCACTCTAAACGTTGCTATACATTTGTGGACACGTTTTCATTTTATTAGGTAAATACTTAACAAGTGTTATTGGTGGGTTGTATGGGAAGTTTATCTTTTAACTTTATAAGCAACTGCCAAATTGTCTTCTGAAGTAGCTGTACCACTTAAAATGTTAAATTCCCACTGGCAGTGTTTGAGACCTACAGGTGTTTCACATTTTTAACATTTGGTATTGGCAGTTTATTTTTATTTTAGCCATTTTAATAGATGCAACATAGTGGTATTTCACTGTGATTTTAGTTTGCATTTCCTTAATGATTAATGATGGTGAGTTTCTTATTTGCCATCTATACATCTTTGGCGAAATGTCTATTGAAATCTACCCATTTTTAAGTTTTCTTTTTTTTTTTAATAAGTTTCTTTGTTTGTTTTGTTTTTCTCTTTATTTTCTCTTCTCCCTTTCCCATTCCGACTCCTCTAGCCACCACACTAACTCTTTCTTGGCGCCTCATTCTCTCCCTTTTGTGCTTGGGGTCTTGAACCCCCAGTTTTTCTTTCTCCAATTAGGAGAGAGGTGGCATTATTTATGCAGCATCCTAACCCCCAAACCTGGGGTACAGAAATATTTATTTTCACCTCCTGTTGTACCCAGGCCTCTTATCCATTCCTCAAATTCCCAGCCTTTATCCTTGGTTGGTGCCAACTGGTCAGGTGAACTTCCATCTATTATATCTTACTGCTCTGTTTGGGGCCAGTACTAGCAGAGCCCAGATAAGTTGTCCGCAAAGACGCCAGGTGCTCTAGGTGTAGAAAACTCCAAGCTCCTTCCTTCCTTTCCTTAAGCGGGAAAGGGGAGGGGAGTGGGGGAGTGTCTCATCCTTGGCCATCAGCAGGTTCTTCCTGCAGGAGGTCTGAGCTTTTCACCCCTCACCTTTGCACTGGAAGATGTCAAGGGCTGTGTTGTGGGCTGGATGCAGCCCCTCCAGCTCCTGTGCCTTTAAGAAAGCGCAAGGTTTCAGGCACCACCAGCTCCTCCCCTCCCCTCCCCCAGCTGGGGGGAAGGGAACAAAGATGGAGATACCCCGCTGAGTCCCCGCCAGACAAGCTTATAAATAATGGCTTATCTTCCCGTGGGGACAGGAACTGTTCTGCTGAGGAGCCTGGGAGAAAGGAGGCAAGGCTCTTTATCTATCTCCTCCTGTGCTCTTGCCAGTGAAAGAACATGCCTCTTTTTTCTTCTTTCCTGGCCCATTTCTCCTTCCCAGAATCTGGAAGAAAAATAAAATGGGGTGGGGAAGCGGAGAGAGTCCCAGTCTCCTGCTTCCCCTGAGGCTTTCAATCACCAGGCCCCACACGGCCCACAAATGCTTGCTGAGCAGCTACTAAGTGCTGTGGACTGAGCAGCAAAGCACACTCATCCTTCCCCAGGGCCCCCTTTTACCTCACAGAGCAGGGCCTTGATCAGAGCCTCATCCCCACACCCCAACAGTCAGAGCTGTGGACCCAAAAGTATTGGGTTGTCGGAAAAGTCATGACGCANATCCCCTTTTGCCTCTAGCTAACAGCCAGAGACTTAGCCTTAATATTAAAGTTGTTACCAGAAAAGGGGAGAAGACCAAGGACAAATATTTTCCTATGAGGAAATATCCATCTGTCTTCCAAGTTGTATGTTTTAAAATAATATATATATACATATATAAGTATATGTATATATGTATAAATATATATATATTTAGTGCTAAGGGGGGTATATATATTGCATTTATTTTAATTAAAAGCTTTTCCAATTAGAACGTTTTGACGAAAAATTGCTGGAATTAAGATGTATTATTGTAAGCTTAAGTCATTTTTAGGCTTTACTTACTAAATTGAAGTCTATAAATTCTATGTACCATGAAAATACATTTTTCTAAAATAGTTTCCTTTTTTTTTTTTTACAGATTTATAACCCCGAAGAGACAATTTTGTTCCTCTCCTTTCTGCTGCAGTAATAAATCCCATTATGGAGACCTAGAAACTTTATAAAGGGATATAGTTTGAATTGGTGGAGTGTAATTTTGTGTATGAATTATATTTTTTAAATATGAAGTGTTTTCAGAAAGAAGGCTAGTAGGGTTAATTATTGGTACATTATGCATAAGCAGTAATTTTGTTGGTAGTACAATAAACATTATTAGACATTTGTGATAACACTAAAAAGGACAAGCAGTATCTTGGTAAATTGATTTATCTTTAAATACAAATGAATGATACTATAGGTGCATTCTTAAATGAAAGGTTAATTTTTAAATGCAGTGTAGAAAATTTCTGCTGTGGAAGTGTTATGGTTAACTAGTTAAGTTTATGGTGAAAATACCTTCAACTGATCAAGTTTAATAAGGTGGTATGCAAAGCTAGGAAGAAAGACAACATAACGATGCTGCAGGAAATGGAAACATATAGACATTAATTTAAAAAGATGGAAAAATTAGCAGTTAGTGAACATTAAGCAAAATTTATTTTATTTGACACGATATGCACTGTAACAGGCATAGGCTCAACAAAGCTTGTGGGTGTTGACTGCCCCCAAAAGTTGTTAGCTGAAACTAATATAATCCATTTAAGTAATTACTATGATGATAAGGTGTGTTAAATTAGTCTTTAGATAATGTGAACATACGAAGATTTTAATTCTTGTTTACCAGACTAAAACAAGATTTTTTTTTTTTTTATAATATTAAAGTACTTGTAGGGCAAGAAGCCTGCTTATAGTTTTTCCTCTTGTAGCATAATCAATAATGGGCTTGATATCCAGGCTTTGTAGTTTATAATCAAGAGCAAATTAAAGGTATAATTTAGGTATTCTATAGTTATTTAGAATTTTGGGACTATAAACTTTCTTGAAAAGTCAAGTAGTTTTAACATTTTCAGAAGTGTGTCATCTTCTTTCAGGCATTAGGTTAGTATTATACCAAATAATGAGCAAATAACACTTGAGTTACCTGAAAGAGTTAATATAATCCCAAAGGGTACTAAAAAGTATCTAGGTAATTTATGAGATATTCATTCTACGTGAGTATAAACTCAGGTCTAAATCTAGTAAAGGTCTGGTGAATTTTACATAAGTAGGAGCCTATTATTTGATTTTTTTTTATAGTAGAAATCTAATTTAGTATGAAGAAATGAGAGATCTCATCAAAAAGTAAAATCACTCATGCACAAAACTACCTCCCAACGACCTGTCGCAGGTCCCTTGTATCAAAAAATTAAGAGTATAATGGAAGATAGCACGATCTTGTCAAATTGGACAATCAGCAACAAACACAAAATGGAATATGACTTTTCGTGTGAACTGTACAGAATGTCTACGTATTCAACTTTCCCCACCGGTGTTCCTGTCTCAGAAAGGAGTCTTGCTCGTGCTGGCTTTTATTACACTGGTGTGAATGACAAAGTCAAATGCTTCTGTTGTGGCCTGATGCTGGATAACTGGAAAGAAGGAGACAATCCTATTGAAAAGCATAAAAAGTTGTATCCTAGCTGTAGCTTTGTTCAGAATCTGGCTTCTGTTACTAATTTGGAATCTACCTTTGAGAATACTTCTCAGATGAGAAACAGTTTTACACATTCATTATCTCCCACTTTGGAACATAGTGGCTCATTCAGTGGTTCTTCCAACCTTTCACCAAACCCTGTTCTTTCTCAAGCAGTTGAGGACTTATCCCCATTGAGGACTAACCCCTACAGTTATGCAATGAGTACTGAAGAAGCCAGATTTCTTACTTACCATATGTGGCCCTTAAGCTTTTTGTCACCATCAGAATTGGCAAGAGCTGGTTTTTATTACATAGGACCTGGAGATAGGGTAGCGTGCTTTGCCTGTGGTGGGACTCTAAGTAACTGGGAACCAAAGGACGATGCAATGTCAGAGCACCGGAGACATTTCCCCAACTGTCCATTTTTGGAAAATTCTCTAGAAACACTGAGGTTTGGCATTTCAAATTTGAGCATGCAGACACATGCAGCTCGACTGAGAACATTTATGTATTGGCCATGTAGTGTTCCAGTTCAGCCTGAGCAGCTTGCAAGTGCTGGTTTCTATTATGTGGGTAAGAAACTAATACTTAGCTCTGCATTTTATCCTGTTTTTTTTATTTACATATTAGAATGTGTGTATTCATTTTAAGCTTCTGTTTTCTTAAGGTCGCAACGATGATGTCAAATGCTTCTGTTGTGATGGTGGCTTAAGGTGTTGGGAATCTGGAGATGACCCATGGGTAGAACATGCCAAGTGGTTTCCAAGGTAATTGTTTTTAAAGGTATTCCTACACAAAACTGCTTACAGAAATAGGCATGCTTTTTCATGGTTCAGTTTACATCTCAGTGTAACAAAGCTTCTCTTATACCATTGGGGAATTAGCCCTTGAAAACACCAAATTTGAACTTTATTTTGATGGAAAAGGTGGTAGAATGTTTTGTGCACTTTTCTCCTTTTGGAAGCCATGTATTCAGGATATAGTTTAACTTGACTCATTTACAATTATGGCCATACATTTCATTTATATGTTTCCCATTTTGCTGTAAAGAAGACTTAAGGATTACAAAGAGATGTAAAATAGAACAAAAAGAATATAAGTTCAAGTTAAGGGAAAAGGAAAACAAGAAGAGATATAAAATAATATAAATGTAAAAATGCATATAATATCTGTTAAGTCTGATTAGAATTATAAATTTTTTTTGTGTGTATGTACAATTTTGTCTTGTGATGTGTTGTTTCCTTTTAGTCACTCTGTAGCAGTATCTCCTATTTTTAGAAAGAATTTAGAGGCAGTGTTGTTAGTGGTAATAGAATTAGAAATTGTTTTTGTTATTGAGTAGTTATGATCTTGGACAAGTTGTGTAATGTCTTTGAGTCTTTTTCCTTTTCTGTAAAAGGAAGGAGTTGGACTAGATAATTTTTTATTGAATGTGGTAAAACATATATAACAAAATTTACCATTTTAACCATTTTTAAGTATACAGTTCAATGGCATTAATAAGTACGTTTCTGAATCATTACCACCATCGATTTCCAGAACTTTTTTGTTTTCCCAAACTGCAACTTGTACTCATTACACTAACTCACCGTTACCTGGCCCCCTAATCCCCTGGCAACTACCATTTACTTTCTGTCTATGAATATGACTACTTTAGGTACTTATAAGTGGAATCACTTAATACACATAATGTTTTGACTTGTGAATTCCTTTCACAGTAATGAATCTCTTGAACCTCTTCAGGAAATTGAAAAACCCTTTTGTCTTTTTGTATAAGATTTTAAAAAATTAAACCAATAAATATTGTTATGGATGAGTACATTGTGAAAAGTTGTGTTTTAAAATTATGTCTTTAATATTCATAATATATCAAGGTAAATTTTGACTTTCTTAACT